ATGCAGATTATAATACGAAATATGATTGCTCATTGGATTTTCATCGATCATTAAGGTTATTAAGTAATTATAATATTGTATATCATTTAACCGTAATCGTTCTTTTTACACAAATCATTGTTATGAATTGTGATAGTTACATAATGTGATATGATAAGTAATTATTGACCTGTATGATTACATACATTATTCGTGCAATTATAAAATCAAAGGAAATGTCATAAAATCATAACTCATAATAATCATCATAATTTATATTATTTTGACATCAATAGTTAAAAATTCTAATTAAAACCTTGTCAAGTTGTTACCTTCGAACAAACACTTATCATACTTATGTTATTCATTTATACAACTTAAAATACGTGTGTGTATATTTTTTGCCATTTAACTACATTAGTCCGGAGTATTTCTTTAGTCAATATATATATGTATATATATATATATTTATAGGTAACGTTTAAAACTCATTTGATTTTCATATAATGATAATTTTTTTATGTTTTTGAGATTTCGTTCATATTTTTCTGACATTTAAAATTAGTGACATGGTTTTAGGATGTGCTGTGTGTGTTTGATTTCAACATCAACCGTTCAACAAACTCCGAAATTACCGTATTCTACCATGGTCTTATAATATGTACTTTAAACTTTATAAATATTTTTCTATAATGTATCTTTTTATTATTTTTATCAGTTATTATACAAATAGTAATAATAATTTTTGAATTCTACCTTAAAGTTTGGTTTTCGTGTATTATTTTCTGTAAAATGTTTGCTATGTATAATGTATTGTTATTAATTATTATATACTTATAATAATAATATATATTACGTACCTACCTATTTAAGTTATATCAAGTCATATTTTCGTATAACTGATAGCCGATAGGTAACGGTATACGTGAATAATATACAATAACACAATGATGCAACAATAATTGTCTCAGTATAATTTCTTTTATTCAATATTGTAAGCTCTTTCTGCGAAATTTATCTCGAGATACAGAATTATATTATTATTTATTATATAATATTATATGGGTACGCCTCGAACACGCACGTCTTATAATTCGATTAAAAACATAAGCTCGAGAATGTATTTTTTAAATTTCATAAAAATGTAATTGCACATCGTGATAAATTAAAGGTAAGCATATCTACGAGTATATAATAATGTATCTTCGTATATTATATTATACCTATAGAGCGGCGTAGTACGTCAGACATATATACTATATATACATATTATAGTATAAATGTTTACGGTCGAAATTCTAATATAGTATATTATACCTACACAATATTATATGAATTGCGCGCCGGTGCCGGGTTACATGCAACAGACTGCAGAGGAATCGTAAAATATTATATTATGTGCGCGTCACACTCGTAAATTCGCGTCGGATTGGTTTACATTTTATATAGGTAGTTTCATTAAATAACATTAACATATTTTAGAAACGACAAAAATATTGTGTATTGTAATGGTCTTATATTATATACATATACATAATGACGTATACTCTCTCTCTCTCTCTCTCTCTCTCTCTTTCTCTCCTCTCTTTATGTACCTATATATATATATATATATATATTATAATATTAAATATAGGTGCGTATCGCGTGTATATATACTGTAAATTCATATTACACACACATATATATATAAACGTAGGTACTATACTGTTATACTATTCACTGTCTACCGGGACCTTGTTTTATTCAGGCACGCGTATATATACACGGGGCATTGGCCTATCGGAGTATAGATGATACATACGGATACCGGGAGATTATATATACCAGCGGGCCATGTGCGCTCTGCAGCTCCGCGCGTGTGTGTATACTTTCCCCTCGTGTGTTTTTGAAAAAAAAAAAAAAACTTGAAACGAAGTATAATATATTCTATCAGTATACCTACGTATTAATATACGTATATATATATATATAAAATATAGTATATAACATATACATAATATATACCAACACGGGTTGGAGTAACTGTGAATATAGGCTTTTTTAAATTTTTCCCGGTACAGAACAAATTGACCCTAAGCATCTGGTCGCATCCTACAAAAAAAACAAAAAAAAAAAAATACAACAACAACAAAAGAGCGATATATTATATACAATAAATATCATACTTAGGTATATTATATATATATATATACCTATATGGCTCATATTAGGTAGATATAGATCGCAAAACTAAATAATATTATACATATCATAATAAATTACAAAATAAAATGAACCGTTAACATTATTACAATATAGCCGGTCCGAAATGTGTGATCAATTGCCCTTTGTCTCTCACACAAATTCGAGACGCGAGTAACGTGGAATTACGAGCGATCGTATAATAATATTCCCTCACACTGAAAATGTTAAATTATTAGTAACATATATTGGAGTGTATTGACCTGTCCTATATTTTGAAACTTAAAGAAGAGCGCACGCCACGTTTTACCTTCATAATTTTATTCTTCGTTTTCGAGAGAGAGAAGAGAGAGAGAGAGAGAGAGATAAAGATAAAGAGAAAGAGACTTAGGTAGACAGAGATATGTATATATATATTATATTATATAGAGAGAGTTGTAAGTATATAAAATATCAGGTAATTAAACCTAAATATATATATAAAAGTATAAAAAACCATTTTCCACCAAAGTATTATATACGTATATGGCGTTAAACTATAAATGTATATACTGACAAATAAATAATCACAAGGTTAATAGAAATTTTCTCTTCTTTAATTTTCTTAGAAGATCGTTAACTGAATAGATTTATTTAATATATATATATATATATATATATATATATATATATATTACTTATATATTTATATTATATACGTTTTAATTGTTATTATAATCTGCTGCTGCAGTGCCTGCTGTTATAGAAAATACCGCGTAGTAACTAGTAAGTGTATACCTACAAAATATTGTTATATATTATACAGGGTGGTTCGAAAAGAATTATCACCCCAAGTTTTCCTTTAATATTGACATTATTGAAACTCTGATTTTTGGAATTTATAAATATCATATTTTTAGTATTACTTAAGGAGTATTCTGTGGCTATATAAACTTCTGTTTTTCAAACGAGCCCCTCCCCCCTTATTTATATTGTAAATTATTTAGCAGATCATTTTATTGAACATTTTGACATATCAGAATCAAAATTCAAATGAGTAGTTTTTGAGTTATTAAACTTAATTTTAGTATACTAGGATAATGGGATTGAAAGGTATGGGGACTATGGTGAATTGAAAATATTAGTGACTTATATAAAATATCTATTAATAATTTATAAAAACGATCCAAGTATAATAAATACTAGATCTAATATTACATCTACTTTGTGTTTTTTTTAAATCAATTTTAAGGACAATATTATCATTAGTATAGACTTGTTATAACTGCAGAGAGATTATTCATTTTGATTTTGAATTAGGCACCTATATCAACAAATTTCACTGTTATCCTACTAAAAAATGTACAATAAAAATTGGTGGTTCCCATAAGAAAAACAGCAGTTTGTATCACCATAAAACAATTCTTAAGTACTTAATACAAAAAAAACTCAAGAATTTGAAAATATGGTCTACGACTTACAAGTATATTTAAAATGAATCAATACAAGAAAAAATGGGGGTGAGCATCCTTGGCGAATCAGCCTGACCCTGTATACATAATATATATATTTATTGTAATCGTTTTATAATATGTATAATAAATAATAATATGTAGCTACGACGATTATGATTTTATCGAGTTGTGCGAAGAACAAGATAGAAAGACGTACACAATGATGTCGAATTTGGCAAGCGTTGTCCTCTTGAGGTGGTTTATTTATATCTTTATTGTGTTCATTTAAAGTATGCATTAAAATATATCCTTCAGTTGTGAGCACATCGGAACGATTTACATATTATTATATTCAGTTATCAGAGAGAGTTCGGAGATGTTCTCTTTTTTTTCTCATCCAATACATTACCGACAATAAAGAAAGTCTTCGGTTTCCATTCGAATAATCGAATTTCGTGTCTAGTATAACGTAGTTTTCTTATGAACATTTCACCGTTATTCTCCCCGGAGTAGACATAGATATACTCCACTGTTATAGATATATACTCCAGTATATACTAACCGGAGTACACGTGGAGTCTGGAACACACGTGTATATTAGTAAAATTGTAAATTATATATTTTATATTATAATAGTGTAGTAATCAGTTACAACTCATAATGTTTCTGTATCTTTTTTTTTTTTTTCTTAAACTTAAGACCGTGGCAGCTCTGGCAATTGGTCTGAAATTACAAGTCATTTTATTAGGTATAATGATTTTGTGATGTATAATATGACGAAATCGATGGTTATACATACATAGTAAGGTCTTGCAGATATTTGTTAAATTATTTAAGACTTATTAGTTTCCATTCGACCTCGTGAAACAACTAGGCATTTGATAAGGTGTCAATTTTCTACTCGTTTTTCGATATTAAATCGTTGGATATTGTTTTTGCACTCAACTGGGTTTCATAACAAACGTGTATGACGCTCTCAATAACAACGTCTGTATTTATGTATATTATATATATACGTATTATTATTAGGTACTATGTAAACACCCGACTAGTTTCGTTTACACATTTCAATGTGTAAACACAATTATGTTTTAATTATTCTGTTGCTGCACTATAATATTGTAATAACTGTATAATAACTACACATAATAGTATTATGCACTTATATCATGGTCATGGGCGCCGTGAGGGGGGTGCAAGGGGTGCATTTGCACCCCCTTGGCTTGACAAAAAAAAAAAAAAAAAATTAAAAAATTAAATTAAAAAAATTGAATGGTATTAAAACTATTTTATTTTGCATAATTATCTACATTATTTCTATTATTTATTATTATACATTTATACTTATTTTACAATATTGTCTATATAATATATTATTTGAAATTGAATGGTATTAAAACTATTTTATTTTGCATAATTATCTACATTACTACGTTTCACCCTGTTTTCTTCTATTTCTCTATTAAATGCCGAATCTATTTGCTCATGAACACTCAATTGTTTTCTCTCTTTTGAGTTTAAAAAATGTTGTGACGCATTAATTGCGTCTTTATGCCAAATACTAATTTCATGAGCCTTTGAAACCTCGTTAAATTTTTGATATTTTATGCATGGTGAAACAATGAATGCTCCTTGAACACCTCTATGTACTCGAGGTCGAAATAATACACAAACGCGACATAGTGGGCCTTTAGAAACAGCTGAGTAACTTAGCCATGGATAAAGTGCAAACCATTCTATACGAAATACTCTCGTAGAGCCGTTGGTCAAATCTTTTTTGAAGTCATATGTTTTTGATGGAACCCAGGGGTCCTTCAATAACTTTAAACGTAATTCGTCATCAACGTAGGAATTCAAATACAGTCCAATATCTAATTTATTAGCACCAACAGTCAACTGATGAAGGAGTTGTGGCACTTCTTTTTGTTGGCTACTATTAGAACTATTAGTACTTAAATTACTTAAATTACCTATGTCATGATTGCCTTCATTTATACTTGATTGGAGTTGTGGCACTTCTTTTTGTTGGCTACTATTAGAACTATTAGTACTTAAATTACTTAAATTACCTATGTCATGATTGCCTTCATTTATACTTGATGGACTTAATTCTATCTTGCGTTTCTTTTGCAAAAAATTTCGTATGTCACTCATTTTTATATATTAATAATTTTACGTAAGAACTAAAATAATAAGCACGTTGAGATATACACACACGGACACACGACTGTCGACTAATAATGATTCCGATTTTATCGTATAGTGTCGATGGATGTATAGGACATATCAGTTGTCACGTGTATAATATACACTGTATGTCTGTATATTCAATATATAAATCGGTCATTTTTATCGCATGCGATAAGCTTACGAGTTGTCGATCATTATCGGATTTTCTAATCGCAGCCAATATCCCGCATTACTTTGACATTACTTCTGACGAATAAAAAAAAAATAACTTTGTATCGTCATTTAATTTGAAAAAATATTTCTACGTATTTAACTAAAATTATTTATACATTATTTAAAAATCGGCGTATACTATGCACGATGCACCCCCTTGACAAAATTCCTGCCGGCGCCTATGATCATGGTGTTGCATATAGCAGTGCATTTATGGACTGAAGTGTAATACTAAAAGTACCTAATAAGTATAATAATAATAATGAGCGGTAAACGCTCGAATACCCCTTAACGATTTAATAATACGGAATACTGCACATACGCACCACGGCTATATCACCGCACAATAATTATATTATATATTTTATACGGTCGTACGGATCCCTCCGACGTGTCGTTCACACACAATTTTTTTTTCTCCAATAAGATATAAATCATCCGAATTGCCTACCGTTTGGCTTCCATTTCTTTTATTTCTATTATTCAGTACGACAGTACCTAAGCACAGCTATAGGTACCTAGTCAACAATAATGGTCCGGGACAACACAATGCGACTCGTACAAAGCAGGTTAGCGTTCGACGTCTGCAGTATGCATATAATACGCGTAGTACCCGCTATATACCTCCATATCTGTGTTAATGTATCATTTTCTTTTTTATCTGAAACTAACGGAACAGGTCATTGGAGTTCCGGGGAGAAAGTACTATAAGTTATAACTGTAAACACGGCGATCCGAAAAATCCCCTAAAACTGATACATTTTCGGCGTTTTACGCTTTTCATAACCAGTAGCCGAGCGCGGCGTGTACCTAACGGGACAGGTTTGAAATGGGTCCGAAACCGTATTATAACGGTCCTGTGACGTAAAATTTGTGGATATTACTGTAATTTTTTTTGATACCCCGCGCGGTGGCGACGGCTACCGTTTTGTATACCTATTATAGGTATACACATATATTGTATACGCCTTTCTCCAGAGACGAAAAAAGAGAATATTACAATATATATATATATATACGTGTGTGTGTACTCCGGAGAAGAGAAACGAAAAGAACAGAAAATCACATTGGGGGAGAGGGGAAAAAATCCGCCACAAAGAGAAAAAGGCGGAACCGCGTACGAGAAAAGGCGTGATGGAAGAGAATAGGAAAAAAGAATGGTGGGGGACTTCAGGACAGAGGAACTGGAAAAAACGGGTGGAGAATGAGGCGGAGGAGAAGTAAAAAGAAAAAAGAAATACTTTTCAAACGCGCGCACATTATTACTATTATTATTATTATTATATAGCAATAGGCGATATATGTGTTATCATCTGTGCGCGGTCGAGTTTAGGGGTCAAGGCCGCCCGTTAGGTGTTCTCTCTCGTCGGATACCGTGCCGCGAACAGTTAACATATATATATGTATACAGGGTGATTCAGCAAGCACGCTTACCCCCAATTTTTCCTTTAAAAATGAATTAATTCAAAATTTTGAGAATTTTGGAATTTTTAAGTATAGTAAAAGACTATATTTAAAAGCACTTGGATTTTTTAATTTTTATGCCATTTAAGGAGTGTCCTAAAGCTGTACAAACTTATTTTTTCAAATGAGGACCACCTTTTTTATTTATAAATTGTTAGACAGATTACTGGTGTCTGGTTCTAACCTTTTTATGTTCTTATCTAAATAAACATTTTAATTGGCATTGTTTCTGAATCATTAAGACATTAAACTATATCTACTAAGAGTAATAATCCATGATTATGAGATTCAATACATGGAGGCTTGATGGAAATTTGTTAGTAGGTATTACTAATAAGATTTTGCCTTCTATAATTTGACTGAACATATTTAGAACTATTTTGTAACTGATGTAAAATCATTAAGGGTTATTATTAATATTTTATTACGTTTAATAACTAGAACAACTACTATAGTTGGGCCTTGTTTGTATTTCCGTTTGGATACATAAACATTTTCAAAAAAAATCATCTGTTTTACTCTGACATCAACAATTCACAGTAGCATGTAAGGGCAGTAAATGTTATTGTTTGTATACAAAAAGTCCGTGTCACTACGTGAAACTCTTTTTAAAAGGTAGGTATTCAAATGCTAACTGCTAAGTATATTTATCTATGGTTTTCTATTATTAAAATATGGTCTTCGAGATAGTATACTTCGTATTAAACCACTTCAAAAATTGGAATTCAAATAACTAAATTATTAAGGGTTAAAAATGGGGGGATCATCATAGCATGTTACTTTGGAGGAGGCTTAGAGCGGGGCTCAAGTCCCCTCAGGATTGTTTGAGGCCCGCTAAAATTGTTTTGGGTAAATGCGTATATGTATCCACTATGCATTATATAATAATTGCTAACCTTACTTTTGCTATAAATATATATACAATTTTAAAAATACCAATTACGTTTAATAGTTTGATAATATACTTAAACCTTAAACTAGGTAACTCAAAAAATACCTATAGCTATAGCGTTAAGACATGTGGTGCGCGAGGGTGCGCAGACCATTATGGCTGTTATTATGTTCGCATTACCCAATTTTTCGATCAAGAAAATGTCTGCACTTCAACAGTGGAATCACTTCCCCGGGGGAAGTTCACCGCCACCTAACTCAAAGCCCTAGTTATGCCTATGAATATGCGGGTGAGCAGGCGACTATTGCAGGTGCGCAAATCACTCTGTATATAATATATCGCGCACGTGATCTCAAAACACACACACATGACACACACACACACACACACGAAAACGCGTATTTTATAATGATGTGTTCTGTACCTCTGTATAGAGAGTGCCCGCGGTAATACATATTATATAGGTACGCTGCACTAAATTTTATTCGGACCGGCCGACTGATCTCATTTATCTCGCGACAGACGCGAGCGCGAAGAAAGATAAAAACGGCGGCGGTGGCGGCGTTGGTGGAGGCGGCGACGGTGACGGCTACGACGACGACGACGACGGTGATGATGATGACTCCTCGGTGAGTGCGAGTTCAGTTCAACTACACCTACCCGTCGGCGCACACGTGTTCCGGCCATCGAACGTTCCGGAATTCAATTTTATTTTTCAAACAATTTTTTTTCGCTCTCTTCCCGCCAATATCGACGAGACGCTCATCACATAGTTTTATAATATAATATTTATAATATTATCATCATAAAATAATTCTATACCTACACGATGTGCAGCAGTATAGGAAATATCGTGTCGTTGTGCTCTAAAATCGATCGGTAACAATCATTAATAATATAATATATACATTTATCGTTAATCAATATAATATAATATACCTCTAATGTAATATAATATAGTAATCGCCGTATATACATATCTGGAAATCGATTTAGGAATTTAAGACATGTCGCGTACTTTTGGTCTATGCAATGGTACAACACGCGCGTTGCCTACGATTCATAATACATAATATATATATATACACGTAAATATTTGTATTTGGCGTGTAGGTTAGCGATTATAAAATCATCATTGCGTATTAATCGATAAATGATCGATTATAGTTAATAGAATATTATATACCATTTATGCGCCGTGCATTTTATTGTATATTATACCTAATGCTCGACGACGGACTATTTTTTTTCTGTTTCAACTTTTACTATTATATTTAATCTCTGTTTAATGTAATTCCGATCAGCTATTAGTACATTATACGTGTACCTATATAATATAAATATATAATACGAATATATGGCGTTAAGTCGTTTTATTATACTGTAATTATACAGATAGTCCGTCTCGAGGTGCTGGAATTAATTAATATACCTACCTATGTATTATGTCATAATATGGATAAAAATTATTTTTAGTCGTTTTTCGTTTCCGTTATTTTAACATTGTGTTATTTAATTTTTAGAACGGAGAGCCACCGTAGCTGTCAACCTGGATTAGACGGTTCCAACAGCCGACCTAGACCTATAACGGCTGTACAAAACTGAAGGGATAACGCTTATCAAAATCAAATCTACTTGCTCATGCAACACGCGGATTTCCACTATACCGGTAAGTAAAAATTGTTTGACGAATTTTGCATAAAAAACACAAAATTACTTTGAACGTGTTCAAGTGTTTTATTATATTTATATGGATTTAGGAATATACACGGTTCGCTTGGGTCAATTAATATTTACTATGATGGTTAGGTTAGGATACCATCATGGACATTTCTTGGGTGGAATTAAAATTAATTTAAACCGAAAAATCCGATGTAATAGTGTAGGAAATCTGTAATAGTTTAATTATTTAAGTGTTTTTTTCAAAATTAATTCTTTATTACTTGAGAGATTAGGTGGAATAAACAAAGAGACTCAAACTGAAAATAGGCATATAATCTTTTTAGCCATATTTCCTTTCGTCTTAAATATTAATTTTTCTTTTTTTTCAGATGAAATATTATTCTTTTTATAAATTATTACTTCTATAGTATGTTATACATACGTATTACGTGTAAATGAATTCCTAACCAATATGCTTTTAACTTAACTAAGTTCTGTTTAAAAAAAAAAAAAAAGGAAATTAAAAAAAAATAACTTTAATAATAATAGTTGCTTAATATTAAATATTGAATTTGTATGTATATTCAATATTTGTACAATTGAATATTAATTTTATTGAATTAAAACCATATTATTCACTTAACCTAACATATCTATAGTATTAATTGCAATCAAAATGATTTATTATACTCCAAAATATATAGAGATCTCGTAAAAACTTAACACTTGTTCC